GACCTGCAGGGGCAGCGAACTCCACCTGTGGGACTGTGAGCACGCCGCACTGGGGCAGAGCGACTGCCAGCACAGGAGGAGAGCAGGGGTTCGCTGTGCTGGTGAGTGCAGAGAGAGAGATAGTGGCATCTTGAATAGATGATTTTCAAACATTTCTGAGCCCTGTTTTCTACAGTTAACAAGTACAATATATCAGCGACCTTAACTTCAATCATATCTGAACCTCATCATTATAAAAACACCTCGCAGTTCAGTGGGGTCTGAACTTTCACATATTTTGCTTCATATGGTTTCAAGCTTGACTCAGTGATTCTTTGTGCGACTGACATCTGTTATGGCGAGTATTGCGAACCCTGTGCAGGTCTGTGGTGGAGTCCGAGCCAAACGAGTCTGAGAAGGGCGAGGCAGGAGGGAAGTCGATAGGTCCAGGCGTAGTTGAGTCCAGAGAGAGAACTAGGCTTACAATCCAAGAAGGCGAGACGAAAGAATGATCGAAGCTGGAAAGGGGTCCGAGAGGCGAGGTCCGAGAGCGCAAGATGTCAAAGGTTGTCAGTAACAAGAGCTCAGGAGGGGGGAAGATTCCTAATACCGAGCAGTGAACAAGGTGAGCAGAGGGTTTAAGTAGTCAGGGAAGGGGTGTGGTGTGGTAATTGGGTAATGGGAGTTAATTAAGGCCAGCTGCGCTTGGAACAACATCTCCTTTGCATCAGATCATCCCAACCACAGACAACTTGGAAAATGCTTAGAAAAAAGAATATCAGCCTGTTTCCTCCTCTGTCTCAGATCCCCCAAAGCCCAGACCAGCCCCTCAGGCTCCAGGAGGCCAGTCCTCTCTGTGGACAGTCTGCATCGTCCTGGGAGCTCTGCTGTTCGTGGCTGCTGCCCTGGCCTGTGGGCAGAGACAGAGGAACAGAGCCCTTCAGAAAGGTGAGCTTGGTCTCCCCACTGTCTCTACCAGTCAGACTCTGTATTGTGTTCGACAGCACAGCAGTGCTGATCAGGAGCAGGTCAGTGGTGTCTGATCTCACCTCCACAGTACTGGTCTGGCTCTGATCTGACTATGAAGTGAAGAAATGGGGAATGGTGCCTCATTTACAAAGATATACTGGTTAATCACAGTTATTTTAAGTTGAAATAGGTTCTGTACATTGACACAGTTCAAAAAACTATTTTTTTTAACTTTCTGACTGAGTTTGTGATTTTTTCTGGTTAGTGAGAATGAGAAACTGTCCTCTACATTCTGACAATAACCATCGTGTCTGTGGGATATCTGATATTAACAGGCCTATTTTTCATCTCCAATCAGAGATTGCTCAAAGGGAAATGACCTCCTTACCCTACCAGGATGCTCTGTATGAAGAAATCAACTACAAGCTGTACCAGCAGGGAACATACAACCAGCATAGAAATGGTTAGTAGTGAAGCATATGGGCAGCTGTCTTCTTCCTGAAGTTGGTGTCAGTTGTGCAAACATTATTCCTATTAGAGCAGTAGAAGGGGTCTAGTGAGGAGAGGAGTCTCTCAGCAGCTGGAGTGACTGTCTTGTCTGATCTCTGTGCTGTAGGGAGTGATCTCTCTGGAGGGCTGGACTATGATGATGTGGCAGATGAGGACAGTAAAACTCCAGGTAAGACAGGCTGGGGTGTGTAGTGGTTGTGATTGTGAGCATGATAAAAGGATTGTGAAGATGAAAATTCAAGGGCACCACAGCTGAGTAGTGGTTATTTCAAAGCTTCAAGCCTTGGGAGCTATTGCATAGCTATATATCAAACAATAGTGGTTAATTGTCACAGCTGCGTATGAAACTCTATAAATTAATATGTATATAGTGCAGGCTTTGTTCTCTGCTTGCGGATACAATTGACTGAGTCTCTTTTCTCCAGGGAGTCTTTCTGGGGATGATCTGGACTATGATGATGTGAAGGAGGATGAAGAGACCTCAGTTCCAGG